CGCGTTACCTCAGGCCAGGCCGGGCCGGGCCGGGCCGGGCCGGGCCGGGCCGGGGGTTTACGAAAGTGGCGCGAAGACAATATCATGTGACCCCGCCCGGGGCGGCCCCTTCCCTGCGCCAACCAGCCCCGAGCGCCCCCCCCACTGAGGGGGGGGGGCACATCCGCTCCTCATTAGCATAATTAATTGTGTCCGGCCAATGGCAGCGCGCGCGTCCTGGGGGTTTAAATCCCCCCGCAGAGCCATGCCCGGGCGTGGCACTTTTTTACACACGCGCACGCACACACCCCCACCCGTTTCGTTTTGTGTGTGGGAGAGATCTGCGTGTAACACACGCGCTGCCTGCAGCGTGCCTGACTCATGCAGGGGTTGTGGAAACAGGCGTGTATCACACACACACGTGCTGCCTTCATTTTGTGCAGCAGAGGTGTGAGTCATGGGAGAGACACGTGTGTATCATGCACACGCACCCTTCCTTTTGTGTGCCAGGGTGGCAAGTCACAAGAGAGACCTGCGTGTAACACACACACACACACACACACACACACACACACACACACACACACACACACACACACCCCTCTTCCTTTTGCCTGCCAGGGTTAAGTCCTGAGAGAGAGACGTGTATTGCACACACATCCCTTTCATTTTGTGTAGCAGGGTTGTGAGTCAGGAGGGAGACCACACACACACACACCTTTCATTTTGTGTGCCAGTGTTGCAACTCATGGGAGAGATCTGCATGTAGCACACACACGCACACCACCTTCATTTTGTGTGCCAGGGTTAAGTCATGGGAGATGCGACCCCACTACACAAAATGAAAGGGGTGTTTGTGTGTACATCTCCCATGACTTAACCCTGGCACACAAAATGAAGGTAGTGTGTGTGTGCATGTGTGTTACACGCAGGTCTCTCCTGTGATTTGCAAGCCTGGCACACAAAATGACGTGTGTGTGTTTTGCATGTAGGTCTCTCATGACTTGCAACCCCACTACACAAAATGAAAGGGGTGTTTGTGTGTGCAAGTCATGAGAGACCTACATGTAAAACACACACACGTCATTTTGTGTGCCAGGCTTGCAAATCACGGGAGAGACCTGCGTGTAACACACATGCACACACACACCACCTTCACTTTGTCTGCCAGGGTTAAGTCATGGGAGAGAGACATGCATGTATCACACCCCCCCCTTTCATTTTGTGCAGCAGAGTTGCAAGTCGTGAGAGAGGCACGCATATAACACACACCCACTGCCCCCATTTTGTGTGCCAGGGTTTTCATGGGAGAGAGACATGCATGTATCTCACACACACACACAAAGTTTGTGAATTGTGGCCTCCCCCCTCCCCCCGTGCTGCACCGACCACCTCTCTCCGGACTCGCACAGCCCGGAGAACAAAGACCTTCCCGCAAAACAAGCGGTGGGAAGAGCAGAGCCAGCGACCCCCCCAAACCCTCATGTCCTGCTGGGGCAAAAAGCCGGGAGCCGTGACCCTGCCCCGGCCTGGCTGCCCCAGCCCCTGCCCCTCTACAAACACACCCCCACGCCCCGCACCTTATGGGAGGCCATGAGAACAGTCATCTCCTATGTGGCTAATTGCTTTCCCAATAATTAACACCTGAAATAGCCACAATGCAAAGCCGTGTGGGTTTATGGGCTGGGGGGCGAGAAGGAATCCCTTTCATCCTTTGCTGCGGGGTATTTGCCTGGGGACCCAGCACGTTCTCTGAGGTGCGGCTCAGGCAAGTTGTCAGGAGGCTAAATCGCTGCCCCCCGCCCCCAACTTTACAAGAATGATAAAAATGTGCTAATTGTGTCTTGCGAGAGGCAGTCCTTGAAAGAGGATTAGGTGTAATCACCTTTAAAAATATCAATAAATAATTAACAATTTCCCCCGTGAGCACAACCCTTCCCTTTAATTCAGAAATAATATTAGGTGCCTCATTTAACCCTAACCATTGGTATCTTAACTTAGAACAAAAAGGTCCCCATGGAAACCAGGGAGTAATCTATCAGTATTACGTGGGTTACACAACTAGAAAAGAGCTTTTGTTCAGCGTGTATTTACTACTGTTTAATTTCTTTTTTTGAAGTCCAGAGCCCAGGTCTTTCACATTTTAACGAAGACTTCTGCAGAGCTCAGCTGCTTCTCAGTGTGGGTGTGCGAGGCCTAAAACAAAGCCGCCGCGGCCGCAGTCGAGCCCTCCCCAAGCAGAATGGGAGGGCTCTTGAGAGGCACAAATATTTCAGATGCTATTTTGTCATTTGATCCAGAAACACAGCGGTTTGTGCCTCCCTTACAAATGGAAGGGCCCTCAAAACTTTTTATCCAGTGTTATACAGATGTGAACACTTCATTACTCTTTCACTTGGGATGGCAAATATTTGTCTAGCCAAAAACAACGGAGTGACACGGAGAATTTGGGGAGCTTTTTTTGGAATTAGCTACAATAAAAACCTAAACTTCTCCTTGAGCACCCACCTTGGTTAATT